CTTCAAGACTTATACATGTTCCTATGACTATGGATTATGCAACTCCCGAATACCGGAGGAGCACTTTGTGTTCTACCAAACGTCACAACGTAACTGGTTGATTATAAAGGTGCTCTACAGGTGTCTCCGATGGTACTTGTTGAGTTGGCATAGATCAAGATTAGGATTTGTCACTCCGATTATCGAAGAAGTATTTCTGGGCCCTCTCGGTAATGCACATCACTCTAAGCCTTGCAAGCAATGCAACTAATGAGTTAGTTGCGGGATGATGTATTACAAAACGAATAAAGAGACTTGCCGATAACGATATTGAACTAGGTATTGAGATACCAACGATCGAATCTCGGGCAAGTAACATACCGATGACAAAGGGAACAACATATGTTGTTATGCAGTTTGACCGATAAAGATCTTCATAGAATATGTAGGAGCCAATATGAGCATCCAGGTTCCGCTATTGTTTATTGACCGGAGACGAGTCTCGGTCATGTCTACATAGTTCTCGAACCCGTAGGGTCCGCACGCTTAACGTTCGGTGACGATCGGTAATATGAGTTTATGTGTTTTGATGTACCAAAGGTAGTTCGGAGTCCCGGATGAGATCGGGGAAATGACGAGGAGTCTCGAAATGGTCGAGAGTCGAGACGTAAAGAACGATATATTGGACGACTATATTCGGACATCGGAAAGGTTCCGAGTGATTCGGGTATTTTTTGGAGTACCGGAGAGTTACGGGAATTCGTCGGGGAGTATATGGGCCTTATTGGGCTTTAAGGGAAAGAGAGAGGGGAGGCTGCGCCCCCCAAGGCTTAGTCCGAATTAGACTAGGGGGAGGGGCGGTGCCCCCTCCTTCCTTCTCTTCTCTTTTCCCTTTGCTTCCCTCCTACTCCTACTACATGGAAGGGGGGGAATCCTACTCCCGGTGGGAGTAGGACTCCCCAGGGTGCGCCATAGTAGAGGGCCGGCCCTCCCCCTCCTCCACTCCTTTATATACGGGAGGGGGGCACCCCATGGAGACACACAAGTTGATCATTGATCCCTTAGCCGTGTGCGGTGCCCTCCTCCATCATAATCCATCTCGATCATATTGTAGCGGTGCTTAGGCGAGGCACTGCGTCGGTAGCAACATCATCACCGTCATCACGCCGTCGTGCTGATGAAACTCTCCCGTGAAGCTCTGCTGGATCGGAGTTTGTGGGACGTTATCGAGCTGAACGTGTGCTGAACTCGGAGGTGCCATGCGTTTTGTACTTGGATCGGTCGGATCGTGAAGACATTCGACTACATCAACCGCGTTCTCATAACGTTTCCGCTTATGGTCTACGAGGGTACGTAGACGATACTCTCCCCTCTCATTGTTGTGCATCTCCATGATCTTGCGTGTGCGTAGGAATTTTTTTGAAATTACTACGTCCCCCAACATAAAAAACATAGAAGAAAAGACGAAAAATAGAAACATCCACACGCGTCAAATGGGCCGGCCAACTTTTATTATAGTTGATGTTTTGGTAAGATTTGATTTGATTGAGTTAATGCATGACGTTTGTTGTGAGAAAGTGCCAATTTTCCCAGCAAAAAAATGGAGAAAGTGCCAATTTGGTTGGATTTTATTTTGGGGAAATGTCGATCCTGATAGTATGCCTAGCACAAAATAATAGATTAGTTATAAAAAAATGAAATAGAAAAAAGAAAATTATGAAACGAAACATAGGAAAAAAAAGAACGCACGCACTCATCAAATGTGCCGGCTAACTTCGATTATAGTTAATGTTTTGGTAAGATTTAATTTGATTTGGTTATGAGTAGAAGAAGTAAAGGAAAGTTCCAGTTTAGTTGAGATTTTATTAAGATTTGATTTGAATGAGTTAATGGATGATGTTGTTTTGAGAAAGTGTCGATTTGATTGAGTTAATGCACGCGTCAAATGGGCTAGCCCAATTTGAGTGGGCTTTAGCAAAAGATCGCTTGTATGCTCATGGGCGTAATATAGGGTTGGTGAGAGGTGAGGTGATACGGACATGGCATCATCAGTTATTAATTCTATCGAAGCTAAGCCAGTTAAGCAAAGAGGTCATAAAAATGTTACGGAAACTAATGCCATGCAAGCGGTCAGATTTCATCGAGGAAAGGATGGTCATGTACGTGAACTTTGTGGGCCGAGAATCAATTTGGCAATTAGCAGACCAGAGACCAATTATATGACGCATGCATTGGAACCAGGAGATGTCATTGGCATGTTAGTGCAGAGGCCTATACGCATGGAGTCTAAAGGTATACAATTATGTTTGATCAAAGAGAAGAGAGAAGAAAAATCACGTACGCATAAAATGGCAAGAGATTAAATTGGTTTTCAGAATAAAAAGGAATCAAAACGGCACCATACGTCTTAAAAGAAAATACAGGAGATTAAAGCGGAGCCAGCGCTGGCTTCGGTGGAGCCTAATTTTGGCACCCTTCCGTCTTAAGTTACGATAGGTAGAATCCTGGTGCAGATTTGTTAGATTCTTATCCTTTTGTTTGAGTCAACGAGCTAGCTAGCTAGCACTTACGTGAGTCCTTTTCCTTTTCTTGTTAGGATTTGTTTTTCCTAGTTAGCACATGACGTGAGGGAGTTGGAGTCTAAGCATATAGGTTTAAACTTGACGTGCTATTTTTTTGGCATATAAAAAGCCAGGCTACGGCCTTGTAATCAGATCAGTTTTGAGTTTTATTACGAGTATGAGATATATAGAAAAACGTCCGAGTTACGGGCGACCATATCTTGTGTATTATCTTTGATTTTTTTATCGTGGAAATTTACTAGCAACGGAGGGTTGATCATCACATCAACGCCTACGTGCTGATCCGAGGGGATCATTATTTTCGTTTGTGTATATTTGTACACAGGTGAAAATTGTTCTTGGAGGTTACGAGGAGGAACAGGGAGACAAGGTGTTGACCGAGTATCGCCGTGAAAGATCGGGCCATCTACACGCACGAATTAGCATCTTGCTAGTCTGTGCTTCATCATGAGGCGAGCTATCAACGCCCCTTTAGGCCTCCTTTACTTTGTAGGAGATTTGTATAGAAAAAAAATCCTTGAGAGTCCTTTGGTTTGTAGGAATATAATCCTATTCCTATGAAGAAATTCTTCCTATCCTTCATATTTTATAGGAAAATAAACATTAGCCAGACTCAAAAGAAAATAAATACTACGATGTGAATAAAGGGCATCTTTTTTCCTATTCCTATTCATAGGATTTCAAATACATGTCATCTTATTTCCTATGACTTTTCTATTCTCCTATTCCTATTCCTATTCCTATTCATAGGATTTCAAATACATGTCATCTTATTTCCTACTCCTATTCCTATTCATAGGATTTCAAATACATATCATCTTATTTTCTATGACTTTTCTATTCTCCTATGATTTGCCTACCCTATGAATCAAAGAAGGCCTTAGGAGTAGAGAAGATGTGCCTAATTAGTATATAAGAAGGAAAAAGGAAAAGCTAAAATGAAAATTTTACATAGATCTCCATGCAAGATCAAACAAATGTAGCATCGACTGTGATATAACCAAATCTCAGTCTCAGTCGATCAAGACTTAACAAATCTGTTAGGAAAAACTGATTTCCTTTCACAGACGCCTTTCGATGCACTTCCCATTGTGGATGACCTGATTTCAAATACCCATCGCCCATGCCCGGAACGGGGGGCGTGCATGCCATGCATGCGGAGACCCTAAAAGTATCGCACGCAATTAACGAAAGCGAAAGCTCCATGACCTCCATGCATGCATGGGCGTGGCGTCGCTGCTGCTCTGAGCCGGTGTGGCCGCGCAGGCGCAGACTTTAGCACTAGCGCCCAGCCGCGCGCGCGCGTGGCGTCGATGACACACACGGCCGCTGGCTGGCTGGCTACGCGCCCGTGGCCAACGGCCATGCACGATCCGCCACTAGGTTCGTCCTATACGGCAACGGGCTTTGCTTTGGCCAACATGCACGCATGCAGAAAGCTTCACTACTGCCACGTGCCCAGCACTCTAGCTAGCTAGCTAGCTAGCCACACCCATTAACTCACCAGCCATTCGCCATCCACATCCAAGTCAGGATGCTGGCCGGGGTCCGTCTGCGTGATTATTTCAGCATCTCCGTCGTCCTTGTGAACCGATGCGGACGGGTGCGTCTTCGTGATTGTTTTCAGCAGCAGCAAATTAGAGCATCCCCGTCCGTGTGGACAGATGCGGACGGGTCCGCCTGCATCGTCGCATCCAAGAACTATCCAATTGACACCAAGAAATTATCATCTTTTGGCTCCAGCGAAAGATTTTTATTGTTGTTGTTGTTGTTGTTGTTGAGAAACTTAAGGAAGCTCCAGCAGGAGAATGCTGGGTAGCGTGACATACACCTCTTCTGCCCAGGCTACATATATACAAGCGGCAGAGAGAGGTGTATGTGTAGGGGTACGTCAAGAGGGAAAGGAGACAGAAAAGCGAGCAAAAGATGAGGAGCAGCCATGCTGCAGCGGCTGCCGCTAGAGACCGGCCTGTGTGCGCACTGCGCAGGGAATGAGCTTGTTTGGATACAAGCGGCAGCAGCCACAGGAGCAAGGAAGGGCAAGCAAACAAAGACCCAACACGCAAGCCCGTGCCTACCTGCCTGGCCTCCCTTTACTCGACACGGCTAGATCCACCACTGCGCAGCATACTAGCTAGTACTACGTGCAGAACAATTAAGATAAGAGGTTAAGTGGAAACCATGCATGAGGAGAGTGATTAACTAGAACTAGTTGACAAGATATATAGATAATACATCGAGCAAAATAACAGGCAGGAAGAGTGTGCTACTAGATCGATATTGATCACTTAATTATAGCTAATAGGTCATACGAACTGAGGTAATTATATTGTTTACTATGGCAGAAAGCCCTAGCTAATTAAAGATAGCCTGATAGTAATAGTCGATAGGAGCTAGTCAAGGAGGCGATGGCAATAGCATGGATATGCTAGCTTGATATCAGTACGGAGCAATCCCCATGTTGGCCGCGTAAAGCCCCTCCTTTAGAAGCCCATGGCCATCCTTTCTCTGATGATCCTGATAGTTAAGCCACAAAGGGTTGACATTTGGTTAGCCGAAAATGGATAAGAAAATGGAAATATACATGCTGAATAATCGTATACTATGTTCACACGGGAAATTTGTATGTAACGATGTACTCTATTTAAAAATCGACCAGGTCTTGTCCTGAGAATTTGGACACAAGCACACAATCTCCAACAAAATTAAGACTAAACATATAGCATGAAAAAACATTTCCCCATGACCTTGGACAATTTTATCTACGTCTAACCAGTTTAAAGTACATAATTTTTGTTGCATGCTTTCGGGCTTGAATCTATACGCTTTGTTAGTAACCATTTCAAATTAACAAAGTTCTACCCGCTATTTTTTTAACAAAGTTCTAAGTTCATCGTGAGCTAAATTTGTTTGTTTGACCAAGTCTAAATAAAAAGTGGGTCAATATTAAACATCAAATTTGTTTCATCGGATTCTTTATAAAATATGAAGTTGGACTTAGTACAAAGCTGGCACTTCAATTAATTTGGAACTGAGGGAATATGTGGTACTGTGGGCATCAATCATCTTAAAAATAGGAGTAACTTTTACAAAAAAAAGTATTGACATGTGCTTGAAGTTAAGCTAGTCCCAAAACAACATAGTAGTAAACTAATTAAGTTTATAATCCTGCGTTGCTTTTGAAATTTACTTTAGGCACTTAAAATAACAAAAACTAATTAAGTGTACAGTCCCAAAAAGCTGAAGTATGTACTATGTGGCCGAGGTTTGGTTGATTAGTCACCTGAGGTAGGAGGCTGGTCTTCCTGAGCCCCTGGTGATCCGGCATGAGGCCAAAGTGGATATGCGGAAAGTGAGCCCACTGCAGCAGCAGCAGCAACAACAAGAACATAATCACCACATCAAACAATTAAAGGTATATGCATGAATGGACCGTTCATGGGATTCCGAGAGATTGGGAAACCCTAGAAACAGTAAAGGCACATGCATGATCGGGCGAAACCCTAGCTGGAGTTTCAGAGCAGAGATCGATATATAGCATGTGTAGTGCAGGTGAGATTAAGGAAGAAGGGCACTGACGTTCTTGGCAGCCGCGCTGAAGGCCTCCCTGTGCGAGATGTCGGGATTGCCAGCCTTGATGCGTTGGATTTCGTCCCTGCGCGCGTTTCCGTCCCCCCAAAAACACCAGAGCAAAGAAAAGAGCAAAAGGAAAGGGATACGTCAGATCAGCGGCAGCGGCAGCGGCAGGTCTAAACGGCGACGACCACGACGACGACACCCTCATTATTTGCGCCATCACCAATGCATCATTTGCTACAACCATGTCTCATTAACTTCTCTCTCTCTCTTCCTCGAACAGTGAGAGAGAGAGAGAGAGAGAGAGGGGAAAGCCAAAAGAAAACAAGGTCTCTTTGCGTCTGCAAAGGCCTCACTTGTGCAGCTCTGCCGCCCCGGTCCCGACCCCCGGCCCCGGCCGGCTGCCTGCCTGCCACCGAAGTGGCAATGGCCTTGCCGTGAGAGTGAGACCACGTACTTGCACACCCCGTGCCCAGCTTCATTATTAATTAGGAAATGTACTGGTAGGTGGTAGCTACTCCTACTTACTTGATGAAGCGGTTGTACGCCGACGGCACGCGCTGCCTCTTCTCCGGAGCTGCAGGGAGAATCAAAGCCAAGATAGATGTTAGTGCCATACGTTCATGACAAATTAATCGATCTAGCTAGCTTCTTTCAAACGCGCGCACTAGTCCAGGCGCCGGCCGGCCATGGTTGCAGGTTCCAAGTGGAGACATGCGAGAATGGAGGAGAGCTAGGAAGAAGCTGTCTGTACTATTATTCCCCACAGTGAAAAGGGCTGGAGAGAACGACGGTCGCTGTGCCCATCTCTCTTGGGTGCACAGTTTAGACTTTAGAGCTTGCAATGGTGCCAATGGTGGGCATTGTACCTTGTTGCATCTCTCTCAGCACCTATACAGTATATACACTAGACCACACACGTAGAGCATATAGGTTCCATGTACACCGGCGAGCCATGTGTTCTTCCCTGACCAGAGAGAGAGAGAGAGGAGAGAGAGAGAGAGAGAGAGCATGGGCAAGCTCTAGAGAGATGACCAGATTAGTAGTACTACTAGCAAAGATGGATCTCAAGAAACCGGACGAAACTTGGCATCCACAGGAGAAGAATAGGTAGTGGAGATTTGAGAAAGTGCATGCGGAAGCTAGGGTAGCTATACTCACGTCTGTTGACGACGGGATTGGTCCGTGGTGATGGCTCCTTCCCACCTTTCCCCCCGGCGACTGGGGGTGGCGGCAGCGGCGCAGGTGCCGCGGCGTTCCTGCCACCCGCAGCCGCGATCAGGCCGCCGAGGCCGTGCTGCTCCAGTAGCTGCAGGCTCGGGTTAGCGCTGGATATCTCATCCTACATGAAGTAGTACAATATTAGAGCGCAACAAGTCATCAAGAACCAAGTATATCCACATGTACGTACAATCAGAAGCTCGCCACCCAGGATCACAGGTCATGGTGATGCATGCAAGAACGTACCAGGAGGGAGTGGCGGGGAGGGTTGCCGGGCGCGAGGTTGAGCGAGCTGGGGTAGTGGAACTGGCCGTGGTGAGCAGCGGCGGCCGGCGGCGGGGACGTCGTGGTGGTGACAGCAGAAGCGGCTGACTCGGCGGCGACAGTGGTGGTCGTGGTCGGGAAGAGGAGGCCCCTCATGTCGACGGTGAGCAGGCTGCTGCAGTGGCCGCACCGCACTGTCACCGTCTTGAAGAGGCTGCTGCTCGGCACGCTCACCTGCACACCAGTACCTCCCGTTAAATGGACTTGAACGGAGGCGCCGCCGCTGCTGAGCTACATACGCTTAGATGCTTAGAGGCTCAAGAGAGGGAGAGAGAGAGAGGCGGGGGAGGGGGTTGATCACGGACGACGAGGACGGTGTCGCAGAAGTGGCAGTGCACGTAGCAGAGCTGCTCGGAAGGCGCCTCCGGCTGCATCGGCGCCGGGGGCTGAAGCTCCGAGCTGAGGCTCTCCGACGCCATCTGCTGCTGCTGCTGCGATACTGGCGTGAAGGCGGCGGAGGCCCCGGAGGAGGAGGAGGACGACATGCCCGGTTGATCGATCACGCTAGTGGTAGCTGTTCTAGCAGGCGGTGCAAGTGCAAATCAACTGCCCGGAGCGGCTAGAGCTGGGGCTTCTTGGGACCAGTGGATTTGACGCGGCAGCGAATGGGATAGGATGGATGGACGCGAGTGGCAAAGGCGGCAAGCGATTGCTGGCGGTACCTAGCTGCTAGCTGATTGCCCTCGCTTGCTTTTTCCCCCTCCTCCGCCGTTTGGGCGTGATTTGACGGGTGGTGGGCGTGTGCGTGTATATGATCTGGTGATTTGATGGTTTGGGGGTGACTGATGTGTGATGCAACGGAACCTAGTATGTATCGGATCTGTTGTTGCTGCTGCGATTTGGGAGCTAGAGGGAGAGAAAGGGGTTTGGTTGGTTGGTGCCTGTGCTGGTGTGATGGGAGAGGAGATATAGGGTGCAGGGGTGTTTCGGGAGTTCGGGTCAACAATGAGGACAGCCGCAGCCGCGGCCCGCAGCTGTGTCTACCTAGGGTACACAGGCGACGGGTTAGGGCCGGCGTCCCCTCTCGTCCATTTAAAAAAATTATTATTTCAACAAAGCAGGACGTATTTGTTATATTAAAATGTAGCATCAAGCAGATACAAAAGATGATGAGTAACGCCCGATTTCTTAATAACTTAGATGCATACAACCAAACATCAAGAAGTTTGAAAAAAGGAAAAATAATCTGACATATTGGTGACAGTAGAGCCCTATAAGACCCCTCCAAAAAAGTAGAGCCCTATAAGACCGACGCTATGCCTATGTCATCGCAGGTGGTGGGCCTATGATACTACCCATGTTGGGTAAAAACCTCCGTGGCCACTGCTCCAACCGCGCACACACTGCCTTGAACAGTGGTTGCACTACTGGAATTTTCGTATACGCCGGGTACCAGGCTTGTCACCGAGAGCTAAAGCACGGCGCTCGACAAACTCATAGACGCCTAGAGTACCTCTTGGCAACAGACGCAGCTCTGCAAACACGGGATATTACCGAGAGTCATAGTCAGCAATATGGTGACACTCGGCAAAGGCACTATTTGCCGAGAGCCAAACAATCATCGCACGACAAACGTGTTGCCATGTGGCTTACCCGGCGGTGAATAACGGCATGGTCACGGTGGCAATGCTTTGCCGAGAGCCGCTCTCGGGAAAGCTTTAGTCCCACCTCGCCTAACGACAAACAGAAGGACCTGTTCAAATAGTCAGATAACCCAGAAGCATCAAGTTTCAATCTTCATTACACTCTTATTAAGAATATGTACTGTCACTATGAATCTTCATATGTTCCGGATAGAGAATGTTCATAGTGGCAGTCCATATTCTAATGAACGGATGCCGACATAGTTTTATTAATATGATCCAACCCCACCTTTACCGAGCGCTGCTCTCAGTAGAGTAAGAGTTGCCAAGGGCTGTTCTTGGCAAAGCTCTGACTCTTAGCAAACTTTTAGTCCCATCATTAATTAATAAAGCTCGGCTGTTTCCCTTAAAAAACTAGGGTACACAGGCGACGGGTTCGAGGGTCTCACTCGAGCTCAAAACAAGCCAAGGGTGGTGCTCATACCCATGTACTCAAGTGTCCTTCTTTAGCGATGGTGGTGGTGATGATGGAGTAATTTTCTTGGCGATGATTCCTCTTAGAGCACGAATCTCCTCCTTGAGCTTACTGACTTCCTATTTAAGATCCAAATTCTCCTTGCGAAGCTTGTTGGTAGCGGTTAATGCATCCTCAACCAAGGGGTGCAACTTAGTTGTGGAAGACGAGGCGACATCACCCTGCACACGATGATAAGGGGTAAATCGAGTAATGAAAGGTTTAACCTTATTTGGCAAACTTGATTTCTTGAACTCCGCATGCATATCTCCCGGTTGAGGTAGAGGAGTTTCTTTTTCTTCTTCGCTCGAGGACTCCATCCTTTTCAGATCGGCATCCTCTTCCTCATCAGTAGTCCATCCATAAGGGTCAACCTCCCCGTAATCCTATTGTCAGCGGTGATGTGTGAAATGTAGCTCTCTCCATCAGATTCTTGGGATGACATATTGCTACTTCTTGAGCTTGCATTAGTTTTTTCCTTGAAGAGGAAAGGGTGATACAACAAAGTAGAGATAAGTATTTCCCTCAGTTATAGAACCAAGGTATCAATCTAGTAGGAGACAACACACAAATCACCAATACCTGCACACACAATCAAACACTTGCACCCAACGCGATAAAGGGGTTGTTAATCCCTTCACGGTCACTTGCAAAAGTGAGATCTGATAGAGATAGATAAAACTAAACAAAAGACAAAGTAAATATTTTTTGGTTTTTTTGGTTTATGGATTGGAAAGTAAAAGATTGCAAAATAGTAGACCGGAAACTAATATGATGGAAAATAGACCCGGGGCCATAGGTTTCACTAGAGGCTTCTCTCAAGATAGCAAATAATACGGTGGGTGAACAAATTACTGTCGAGCAATTGATAGAAAAGCGCAAAGTTATGACGATATCCAAGGCAATGATTATGAAATATAGGCATCATGTCCGTGTCAAGTTGTGACGCCCGGGTAATTAAGCTACAGTGATCCTCTGCTAATGATGCCACGTGACCTCGTTTATAGTTGCTAATCTCCAGTTAGTTCGAAACCGATTCAAATTCAAATTCAAAATTAGGCAAACAATAAAAGTTTTCAAATATTAAAACTAAAATGTTCGGAGTGAACCAAATATTGCATAGATAATTATGGGGGAAAAACCACACATTTATAAAATGTTTAAATACTATGAGATGAATAAAACAGTAGTAAAAAAATGATTATTTGAATAACTTTGATAATTAATAAAATGTCAAACTAAGTTATTCGGGGTCTAAACTTTTTGTGACTATGGACTAGGTTGTAATACTAATTTAGATACTAAATGTATGTTTTACTAAAATAGAATGCAACTACAATAAAGCAGGAAAGAATAAATAAAAGGAAAAGAAAACACAAAAACAGAAAGGAAAACTAACCAAAAAAAATGAGGTAAAAGGAGACCGCCCCCCCTGGACCCCTTGGCCCAACTGGGCCATGGCCCAGCCGGCCATCCCCTGGCCTATAGGCCACCCCCACCCCCCTGCCCCGAAACCCTAACACCCCCACTCCCCACGACCGCAACCACCTCCCCACTCCCTCGTCTCTCCCTCTCATCCGATCCAGATTGGATCGGGCCGTCCCCGTCGCCCCGTCGCCATTCACCATCGCCACCGCCGCCCAGCGCCCTCCTCCTCAACCCTCCTTCCCAGCGCCCCCACGCTCGGCTGGTTCTGGATCGGGGAGGGGCCCGATCCCGCGTCGCCCTGCACCCCCGATCCCGTCGCCCGTCGCCGCGACGACCTCGCGTCCACGTCTTCCTCCCCGAGCCCCACTGCCCGTGCCCTACTCCTCCCGATGTGAGCCCCGCCTTGCTCCCTCCCTCTCCCTCGCGCGCTCGCGCTCATCGCCGAGGTCCCCGCCGATCTCGCCCTCGGTTGACGCGCTCCGGCCGCGTCCGATGCGCGCTCACCGCGCCGTGCCCGCACACCGCACCTGCCGTGGCCCCCAGCCCCCCTGCCGCCTCCGATGCGGCCACCGAATCCCCCCTGCACCGGCGACGCCGCTACACCCGCGGCCAACTCCGGCACCCCGGCCCCCGCGCCCTGCTCCCCTGCGCCCGCATCTCGCGTCGGCTTCGCCCACTGCCCCACGCGGCATCCCACGCGCTGCTGCGCTCACCGCCGCCGCCACCTTTGACCAATGCCCCCGCCCGCACTGCTCCGGCCGGTGGCGCCCCGGCCAAACCTCACCGGCGCGCTACCACTCCCACCTTGCGGCGGGCCGCGCCTGGACCGTCTCGGGCACCCAGCGCCCACGCCCGTTCGGGCGGTGCCCGCGCTCGCACCGCCCTGTGCCCGTTAGGCCCTTGGGGCCACAGACATGTGGGACCCACGCCCCAGAACTTTATTAAAAAAAGAAGAATTAAAAATAAATAAATAAATAAATAAATAAATAATAATTACATTAATTAATTAATCAATAAGTGAACTAATTAAGTTAATTAATCATGTTTAATTAAGCTAATTAACTAGTTAGTTTAATTAAATAGTACTTAGTTTAACTAAGACCTAATTAACCTAAACAGAGTATGACAGGTGGGTCCCACTGGACCCACGCGCCAGTTTGACCAAGTCAACTGACTGTTGACTGCTGACATCACCCTGATGTCATGCTGACATCATAATGGCATTTCCTAATTAAACTAATTCTGATAATTCTAAAAATGAATTAAAACTTTGAAATTTAATATAAAATAAACCGTAGCTCGGATGAAAAAACTTTGTACATGGAAGTTGCTCAGAACGACGAGACGAATTCGTATACGCAGCCCGTTCATCCGCCACGCATCCCTAGCATAGCGAACACGCAACTTTCCCCCTCCGGTTCGTCTGTCCGAAAACGCGAAACACCGGGGATAATTTCCCGGATGTTTCCCCCCTTCACCGGTACCACCTCGTACCGCGTTAGGGCACACCTAGCATCACGCTTTGTCATGTCATGCATCGTCATGCATTTGTTTGCATTATATTTATTGTTTCTTCCCCCTCTTCTCTCGCTAGACACCGAGACCGACGCCGCTGCTACCCAGTACGACTACGGTGTTGACGACCACTCTCTCTTGCCGGAGCAACCAGGCAAGCCCCCCCTTTGATCACCAGATATCGCGTACTCTTCTCTATACTGCTTGCATTAGAGTAGGGTAGCATGTTACATCTTTTCGTTATTCCTATCCTGATGCATAGCCTGTCCTTGCTTCTACTGTTGTTACCATTACCTGCTATCCTACTGCTTAGTATAGGATGCTAGTGTTCCATCAGTGGCCCTACACTCTTGTCCGTCTACCATGCTATACTACTGGGCCGTGATCACTTCGGGAGGTGATCACGGGCATATACTAAATACTTTACACAATTACATTACTTATG